TAAATATAAATCTTCGTGAAAGAAAGAAAAAAGAAAGAGAAAGAAAGAAAGGAAGGAAGGAAGGAAGGAAGGAAGGAAGGAAGGAAGGAAGGAAGGAAGGAAGGAAGGAAGAAAGGGAAGGAGGAAGGAGGAAGAAACCCAAACAAATCCCAGGCGGTGCAGTTTTACTGGGAAGGTGGGGTTTGCAAAGGAGTAGTGGAGCGGGGAGGCGCTTTGCACCTGGGGGGAATCACGCGCGAGCAGGAGCGCTCCCCTGTACCAGTTCTCTCTTCTCCTGTAGGGCCTGATCAGATCCGAGCTCCGCATCTGTGACCTTGCCTGTGGCGACGGAGGACTGGCCGAGGCGGAGCTCTTTCTCTCCCGGCAAGGGCGAGTGACCGGCGGCGGTCCCAGCTCCCCTTCCCTGGGCGCCGCCTCACCCGAGCGAAGCCCCGGACGGCCCCACCCGCAGGAGGGCGCCGGAGCGGCAGGGCGGGCTGTGTCCGGCTGTGTCCGGCGGACTGTGAGTGCTGAGCGGGCGCAGGGGAACGGTGGGCCAAGAGAAAGAGGGCGGGCGGCGCGGGAAGAAGGCTGGCAGCCCGAAACGGTCCTGGGAACCGCAGTGAGGGAGAACCGTCCGAGAGTCCGCTCAGGGTATCTCCCTGACACCGGCAGCGAGCACGGCCAGGGGCACAGCGGAGCTGCAGCCCGGACTCAAAGCCCCGGAGGGAAGCCGGTGTCCCTGCCCGGTTCCAGGACGGGAGGTCGGCTGTTCCGGGCTGGCAGGAAGGCGCTCCGGGCCTGCGTGCTTTCAGTCTGGAGCCGTCGCGGTCGCGTGTCGCTCTTCTTCCTCTCCTCCTGTGTGTCCAAGGTCGGATTCTTCCGCAAGCCCTTCCCAACGCCTGCTGCACGGACCGATGTCATTTCCTTTCCCGTACTTTCTTCCACTTTATTTCACTTTGTCTGCCTTTTTCAAATGGAAAAGTTACATCATTAACTTTCAGCCATTCTTTTTCTCCAATATTCGTGTGTAAGGCTATAAACTTCCCTCTAAGCACGACTTTAGCTGCATCTCACAATTTTTTTAATATAAGTCATTTTATTATCATTTGGTTAAATACTATTTCTAATTTTCATTTTGATTTTTGACCCATGAGGTTTTCTTTTTTGTTTGCCAAGGAAGTTTTGAAGTTTTTTTCTTTTTTTTATTTATTTAGTTCATCATATTATGGAGGTACAAATATTGTTAGGGTTACAAATATTGCCCCTGCTCCCCCTCCCCCCCGATGTGTCTAATCCCCCGGCAGTGTGCATCAGACACGTTGTGGAAGCACACAACCCTTTCCTCCTCCCCCCTCCCGCCTGCCCACCACCCGATAAAAGGTTTTGTTTTGTTTTGTTTTTGACATTTTGGTTACATTGTATATCTTTGCCTCTCCCTAAGAAGGGTTAGAGTTATGCCCTTCCTCCCCAAAATGCTCACCACATCCCTAAGATTGGGTCCCCCC